CAGGTGTAGTTAGAAATTCTTAACAGAGGAAAAACTGGAAAATGCACGCATTTGTGGAATTTAACAACATAATTTGAAAGAAAAGTGGCTCAAAGAAGAAATAGCAAGGCAAATTACAAAATATTTAGTGACGAATGTAAACAAAATCACAGCATACCAAAATTTGTGGGATGCAGTGAAAACAGTGCTAAATGGGAAATTTATACCTGTAAACATTTATATGAAGAAAGAAAAATTTCAAATTAAAAAAAAAATCTTTCAAACTTAAGGAACTAGATAAGAAGAGCAAACTAAACCCAAAGCTACCAAATGGAAGGAAATAAGAAAGATTAGAGCAGAGATAAACAAAACAGAGAAAACAATAGAGGAAATCATCAAAACCAAAAACTGGTTCTTTGAAGATATTAACAAAATTGAAAAAAAAAATTAGCTGGATTGACTAAGAGAAAATGAGAGAAAATTCAAGCTACAAAAATCAAGGGCCATTATGACTGATTTTACAGAAATAAGAAGGAAAAATACAATAAAATAAAATAATAAGAGAGGACCACAAACAATTGTACACAAAAATTTGGAAAATGACAAGAAATGGAAAAATTCCTAGAAACACCAAAAATTTCTAAAACCTCAGCAATGCAGAATCATGAAGAAATAAAAAATCTGAATAGACTTCTAACTAGTAAGAAGGTTGAATCAGTAAAAAAACCTTGGTGAAGATGATATTACTTGTGAATTCTACCAAAAATTCAAAGAACATTTAGCATCAAGACTTCTCAAACTATTCCAAAATATTGAAGAGGAGAGAACACCTCCTGACTCATTTCATGTTGCCCTGATCACAAAGCCAGACAAAGACATTGAAAGAAAAGAAAACTACAGAACAATATCTCTTATAAATATTGAGAAAAAAATCCTCAACAAAACGCTAGCAAAGTAAATTCAGCTTCCTGTTAAAAGGATTGTACATTATGACTAATTCAGATTTACTCCTGGAATGCAAAAAGTGTTCAACACATGGAAATCAATCAGTGTAATACATCATGCTAACAAAATGAAGGAAAAAAAAACTCACATGATTGTATCAATTGATGCAAAAAATCATTTGACAAAATTCAACACCCTTTCATGATAAAAAAAAAATTCATCAAAGTAGGAATAGAAGGAAACTTCCTCAACGATATATAAGCCATATGTGAAGATCCCACAGCTGACATAATACTCTCTGGTTGAAGACTAAAAGCTGTCCGCTGAGATCAGTAATGACACAAGAATGCTTGCTTTCACCATTTCTGTTCAATATATTACTGAATGTCCTAGCCTGTGCAAATAGCCAAGAAAAAGAAAAAAACGTATCCAAATTGGAAAGGAAGAAGCAAAATTATTTCTGTTTGCAGAAGACAAGTTGTTATACATGAAACTCATTAAGATTCTAGAAAAAATAGCTTGGAACTAATAAATGAATTTATCAAAGTTGCAGGATACAAATCTACAGGCAAAACTCACATGCATTTCTATACACAAATAATGATCAACTCAAAAAGGAAATTAGGATAATTCCATTTATAATAGCATCAAAAGAGTCAGATACTTAGGAATAAACTTAACCAAGAAGGCAAAAAAGTTGCATACCAAAAACTATAAAATATTGCTGAAAATAGTGATAGAGGACATTAAAAAAAGGAAAGATATCTTCTGTTCATGGATTGGAAGACTTAATTTAGTTCAGATGTCTATAGTTCCCAAGGCAATTTAAACTCTCAATGCAATTTGCAGAAATAGGAAAACCACCCTAAAACCTATACAGAATGTCAAGGGACCTTAAATAGGAAGGATAGTCTTGAAAGAGAATAAAGTTGGTACATGTGTGTGGTGATGGGTTGTAATTAGTATTTTGGTGGTGAACATGATGTAATCTATGCAGAAATAGAAGTACAATGATGTACA